GAGTTGGACAGGACTTAGCGAATGAGCAACAATACAGGAGGAAGAATTAGTATTTGTAGAATTCCAAGCATATGTGGAGTGCTAACTCCCTTCAATGCACCCCACTCCAGTACTCTTGCCTGGAAAATCCCATGGACGGAGGAGCCTGGTAGGCTGCAGTCCATGGGGTAGCTAAGAGTTGGACACAACTGAGCGACTTCACTTTCACTTTTCACTTTCATGTATTGGAGAAGGAAATGGCAACCCACTCCAGTGTTCTTGCCTGGAGAATCCCAGGGACGGGGGAGCCTGGTGGGCTGCCGTCTATAGGGCCGCACAGAGTCGGACACGACTGAAGTGACTTAGCAGCAGCAGCAACTCCCTTCACGGAATTTCTTGTTTACTGGGACTTAGATTGTCAAAATAATTTTCTCTAGGCCTAATCTCTGGGTTCATTTGAGCCATCTGCTCACAGGAAATAAGTAGTTAGTCAGCCCATAAAGCAGGATACATGACAATTTCCTGACAGGTGCGACTTACCTAGCTGTCTTCCTTAGACCGAGATGACCCTAAACTTTTCAACTCTGGGGATCACAAGTTACTGGCTTGCATTCCTACCAGAGTTCACTTACACTCTTGTTCCTTCAGCTCCCCTGGGGGATGGAGGCTTATCTCTTAGGGATTCTTTTACTACTTAAAAGAAATTATTTCTATGCCTCTGGGTGCCCAATTAGAACTTGTAGAGACAGAAGATATCGAAGGGGCAGCTCCCTGGCCACTCCCTCCTGTTCAGTTGTAAGACACGCTCCCAGAGCTGTTCAGAGCTGCAGACTCGGGTGGTTGCCTCCTGGTCTGCTGGGCACCGATGACTGACACCCCGAGGCGCCTGGGTGTGTGCGGTGAACAGCAGCCCTGCAGGGACCATTCTGTTTTATCCCCGTGGAAAGTCTTGACTGTGGTTCAAGAGGAAAGAATAAGACAATGAGCTGTATGTGCACAGAGCAACTGCGCTGCTGTCAAACAGCAGATGTGGGGATAGTTCATCCACCGAAGATCTCCAGGAGTCAGGGGAGAGTTGTGACGTCGGCGGAGTCAGAGGCAAGGGGGACATTCTGGAACCTTCCAGCATCTCAGGGAGAGCTCAGGGAGGTCCGGGGCAAGTTCAGAGAGGCCCCTCATTACCAAAGGTGCAGCTTGCGAAGGAACACATTTGAAAATTTGAAACTACTAGCTCCTAAAAGGAGTAATTCAGTTATTTTTTTTTTAATCTCCAAACTTTATTATAAAATATTTTTGGAGATTTATATTTGTGGAATATGATCCTTTTAACAATATTTTTAAATGCTTTTCATATTTTATTTACTACCCTAAATTGGTGATTGTGTGGATCACATTTGCATTTTATTTTACTTAAAAAATACTTATTTTACTTATAAACAGCTATTTCTGATACAATTTCCAGGGCTACATTTTGTCACAAAGGAAAAAGCTATCTTTATCAAGGGATTCTAAGATGCCCTATCACATGTCCTTTTGTTGAGTTAATGAAATGCTAATTTTTCCGTGAAAAAATTTTATGTCTATATTTTTCTAAACTTTTTATTTTTTACTGGGGCTTCCCTAGTAGCTCAGTTAGTAAAGAATCCTTCTGCAATGCCAGAGACCTGGGTTTGATTCCTGGGTTGGGAAGACCCCCCTGGAGAAGGGAAAGGCTACCCACTCCAGTATTCTGGCCTGGAGAATTCCATGGACTGTGTAGTCCACGGGGTCGCAAAGAGGCGGACACGACTGAATGACTTCACTTTCACATAGTTGACTAACAATGTTTTGACGGTTTCAGGGGAACAGTGAAGGGACTTTCAGTCCTTTCGAACCATTATTCTCTAGATGAGAACACGCATGCCCAACAGGTGAGGGAACTGGATGGGTCAGGGCCCTGGCCTGTGTCAGAGCAGTGTCTGCACCCGGTTTTCCTAACTTTCACTTCTGATCTCTTTCTAAACACCATCCTGCCCCCAATCCTGACTCTTCTGCTTGATTATCTTTACCACGTGACCCTGAAATGGGCAACTAGAAGCTCCTTCTGGTTCCGGGCTTGGGTAGCAGAGAGAAGGGGGATGACAGGCACCAAAGGGGGTTGCACAGGGCCAGGGGCTTCCAGAGGGGTTTGGGGAAGCCTCAGGCCGGAAGATGTGTGTGTGGGGGGGTGGGGGGGTGGCCTCTAACCTCCTCTCCTCTCACTGAGCAGAGAAGGAAGCTGTCTTCTTATAGGATCACCTGGGCTGAGCCTGCATCCACACTCCACACCGGGAAGGGAGGGGCTGCCACAGTCAGACGCTCGAAGACGCCCCTGTCCCTCATCCTTGGAATCTGATCTCCCAGCGGATGTGGACAGAAAGCTGAAAGTCTCGTGCATGAGGCCCTGGTCAGGTCCACCAGTCACAACATGGCCGAACAGGAAGAGGAAGTGGGAGGCAGGCACAGTTATGCAGGAAAGAGTTGTCATTAATCCGAGATCAGATCACCGAGCATCTCATTTGTGTCGCCCCACGAGTGGATAAGGATGTGAGAGTTTTGAAAAATGTTTGCTGAGAGCAGAATCACCCTAGCCTGGCTCTGTTTGGGACTGTGGCTTAGCGGAAGATGGAGAGATGAAGAAGGGTCAAGTGGACATTGTCTCCGCCCTAGGGTCCCAGGGCCCTCAGTGACATCCTCTTATCGTTCAGAAGCCTGGGATGGTGTATTGGTGATGAAGGCTCTGGAACTTTCTAGCAGTCACAACAGAGTTGTAAGGTCCATAGCTGTCCTTGTAGAGTGCGATCTTAGCTGGGACAAGCCCTGATGGGATAGATACTCATTTTACTAAAAAGCGGGAATTCCGTACCAACTCTTTCTCAACAGAACCTCGTAGCTGGAGTATCTTCTCCACTCCTCTCTCTTTTCTTCCTACCCCCTCTCCCATTATATAATTTTTGATACAAATAGTTTCTCAAATCCAAACTTCTCTTCAAAGCCTCCTTATTTGCTTTGAGTTTATACGCAAGTAACAGAACGCACAGCTTAACAGTGGCCTAAACAAACAGGGCCGAGTTTCTCAGAGAATGGGACACCTGGAGTCAGCAAGCCAGGATCAACACAGCTGCTCACCAGTGGCACCAAGCCTCTTTGCATTCCATCGTCCTTAGCAGGTTGCTCTGCTGGGCCACAGTCCCGTGAAGGCTGCCGCAGCACCAGCCATCAAGCCCATGCATGACTTAGAGGGAAACGATCGGGTTTGGCCCTTTTATCAGGAAAGGAAATGTTTGTCCAGAAGTAACCCCAGACCCCAGCATTATAGTTACATCTTTGTGGTAATTAGTGCTTACCCAGGACATTGCAAAATCCGTTCCCTACATTCTTAACTGTCCTGGTAATTAGGTTGATATGCAAGTTCCTTCCCATAGACAGTGAGCAAACGTGGCATATGACAGCCATGGCCGTCTAAAGCCTGAAATCCCTCCATCTTCCTCTTCCTTTGAGTGGTGGCCTCAGAAACGGTGTGTTCTAGATGGGGCAGCTGCAGAACGGTAAAGTCCCATCAGCCTGCATCCCTGAGGAACCCTGGGCAGCAGAGACCCAGCATGAGTGAGAAGTGATCCCTGTTGGGCTAAACTGCTAACATGTCAGGCTTAATTTGTGACCACAACATAACCTAGACCTTGCACGGTCTCACCTTCCAGAACTTCATCACGTGGCTGCCTCTTGCTGACGGAGACTGGGAACATGAGCCTTTGGGTCTTTCAGTCTCCACCTGAAGTCAGGCAGCAGAGAAGTAAGCTGGGGATGAAGGTTAAGTTTGTCTCATCACAGCACCCACTATCACTTCCTAGGTTGGTCCCGAGGGTCTGTGCCCATGTGGCTAAGATCAGAAAGCAACAGACACTGATTAAAATGCACACACACACTCCCACATGTATCCTCACAGTGTCTCACACAGACCCACATGTACTCACACACAGACAGTCACACAAACACACACAGAGATGCCTGTGACAACACAATCTCTCAACCACGAAGCAAAGTTTGAAAGAAAAGGGGGTTAACTGTCAACTTCTTGTACTTGCTTTCTGATTTTGGAAAAAGCCACAGCATCTCAGTGTTGAGGTTTTCCAGCTCATGATCCAAATAAAGAATTGTTCCCTTTAATTAATGTCAGGCAGATGTGGCCAGGTGGGCACAGGAAGCCAGACGTATCATTAGTTTGCAAACAGCCCTCCAAGTCTGGAATGAGGAGTAAAGGTGGAGTTGAAATCATTCCTATGTTGTGAGAACACAGTGCTGGATGCTAAGCTTGGTCGTGATCTTGAAGGCGAGGAAGGGAAAGTTCATGACATCTGTGAGGTCGGTGACTAAGACCCATTGGTAGGGAAAGCCCGGGGGATTTCAGTGAAGTTCTCAATTCAAAGAATGAGGGAAGGCAGATGATTCACGGCCATGACGGGTGGAGCAGCCAGAAATGCTGCGAGCAGATGCGGCTCAGAGGAGCTGACCGCAGGCCGGGAGGAGGGAGGTCTGGCTCGGGGAGCCTTGTGGGCAGAGTCCAGGGAACTGCCGGTGGTGGACGTGCCATGGACAGGCTCACCAGTCTCCAGCTGGGCCCAAAGGCCCCGGTCTTCTCTGGAAGCTGCCTGTGAAGCTGAACCAGGAGAGGACTGGGATGGTGAGCTGGAAAGCCAGGTCCATCTCCTAGGAGACAATACTCCCACATGCAGAGATTTTGCCTCCAGAATCCCTTGTCCTGCAGTTAAATGTTTGTGCCCTTACAGGCCATTGTGGGTGGTCAGGGTGGTGGGGGTAAGGAGGCAGGATGATGCAGATGTTGAGGACGCACCCCCCACCCCCCGCCCCTCCTTTGAGAAATGAAAAGATCACATTTTGGAAGCAGCCGCAGACCCAGCCCAACCTTCCCTGACTTGGGGCCTCGGGATGAGCTTTAATGAGAAGTCAAGGCCAGTTCCTGCCTCCATCTCTTGTCCTCCAACCTCGGGGGATGAAGTTGACCCAGTAGGTGTGTGGCCTCAGGTGTACCCCATGTGATGCCTCGAAGACCAAGGCCAAGACGCAGGTCAGGCTCAGAGTGAGCTTGCCCGGGGCTGCAGGCTGGGAGGAAGGAAAGACCTTTTGAAGCAAGAGCTGAAGGAGGCCCTCAGTGTTGGAACTCAAAAGTTACTTCCTATCTGATGTGTATGTGTGTGTGTGTGTGTGTGTGTGTGTGTAGTGTGTGCTAAGTTGCTTCAGTCATGTCTAACTCTTTTGCAACCCCATGGACTGTAGCCCACCAGGCTCCTCTGTCCATGGAACCTTCCAGGCAAGAATACTGAAGTGGGTTGCCATGCCCTCCTATCTGATACCCCCTCCCAACTGTATTCTCGTATTTCAGGAAAAAGTATTTGAGATAATTCTGGGGAAGGAAGGAGATCAGCTGACATATGAGTGTAAGGTGACATGACGTTTGCGAGATCTGTGTGCAGAAGACCAGACAGAGAAGGGCATATTTCCCCCCTTCACCCTGAGTCAGCACCTGACTCAGTTCTGCGGTCTCTTCAGGCTCCACCCGTGACCCAATGCATCATAATGTGGCTCTTTTAAATTGCCTGATTTGTATGCTTATTTTACAAGATATTTCCTGGGCAAATCTTAGCCATACCGCATATTTTTAAAATTTATTTTATTGAAATATTGTTGATTCACGGTACTGTGTTAATTTCTGCTGTAAAACAAAGTGACTCAGTTACACACACACACACACACACACACACACACACATATATATTCTTTTTCACATTCTTTTCCACTATGGTTTATCACAGGATATTGAATGTAGTTTCCTGGACTCTACAGTAGGACCTTGTTAACTATCCATTTTATATGTAATGGTCTTCCTTCCAGTTACTCCAAACTCAGTTCATCCCTCCCTCACCCGACTTCCCCTGGGCAACCACAAGCCTGTTCTATGTCTGTGAGTCTGTTTTTGTTTCATAAATGTGTTCATTCGTGTCATATTTTAGATTCCACTTAGAAGTGATATCACGTGGTATTTGTCTTTCTCTGTCTGACTTACTTTACTTAGTATGAGAATCTCTAGCTCCATCCATGTCCTGCAAATGGCATTACTCTGTTTTTTTATGGCTGAGTAATAGCCTGTTGTATATATGTGTCCCATCTTCTTTACCCACTCACCTGTCGATGGACATTTATGTCGCTTCCATCCCAAGAAGAGGTCCTTCCTCATGGACTATTCTACCTGGGGAGTGCAGAAGATTTTGTTACATCTGCCCAGATGAAAACATTCATCATCACCCAGTTCTGGCCTCATCTGCCAGACGTGCTGATCTGTCCCATGCGCTGTGTGTCTGCAGGATTGTGGAGAGCAGAGCTCCAGGTAGCAAATCATCAGCAGCGGGCGTGGAGCCAAGCCTCAGAGGCCCACAGCGCACCACTGCACTCCCAGTCCTGTGAATATCTGTTTAAAAACTTTGAACAACAACAAGATGATGGCAAAGTTATTAACAGAAAGCTGAGGTCTGGTCTGGACTCAGACAGCCAAGACTATAGGCCATTCCTTTAGGGCCTGCAACAGAGACCCATGGTATGGGAGTCCATTCCCTATTCCTCCCACTTTCCAGAAATAGATGTGAAAACACACCTGTGAAAACTCTCCTTTTACTCATCCAGCTTTGAATTTTCCTTAAGTTGCCTGGGCAGAAAAGTGATGGTATGTTCAACATGAGATTCCAGAGCCTCACAGGGAGGGCATCAGAGATGCTGGGTGATTTTTCTTCTTGGTGCCAAATAACCCGCTATGGGCAAGTCTGATCTGTGCTGTGGTAGGCACCCATGTCCAGGACAGGGTTTCCTCTCAAACTAGAACACCTACCCCCAAGACCCCTCCCCTGACCACCTTTCCTTTACCAGATGCTGGGAACATGCAGAAAAATAAGACAGAGCTCTTGTTGTCCAAATGCAGCTGGCCCCAAACTTATGTGAATCCCCTGGGAATGTTGTTAAGATGCGGACTCTGAGTCAGCAGTTCTGGGTCCGGCCCATGATGGTGGATTTCTAACATGTTTCCGGGTGATGTTGCTGGTCTGTGGACCACACTTTATAAGCAAGGGTTAGCTCAGTGATTCTGAAAGGTGGTCTTCAACAATCAAGTGGATATTAGAAATGCATCCTCTCAGGCCCCACCCAGACCTACTGACTCAGAAGCTGTGGGGGTGAGGCCCAGGTATCTGTTTTTTCATCTAGTCTCCCACCCACACCCTGGGATTCCGATGCAAGGCTGACTGCTGAGGTTTGGGAACCCCTGGACTATGGTAGGTTAGAGTATAACCATCTGGCTGCAGTAGGGTTTAACTCAGCCTGGCTGGGGAGGAGAGGTGGCCATTTCCTGAATAAGCTGGCCCCGAGAAGGACACTTGGTGACTCCCACACAGGGCTAAGGGCTGTGCAAAGGCCCCAAGAGGAGATTGGAGGCTGGGGATGGGGCCGAGAAATAATCTAGGACATTGCTTCACGTCAACCCAGTCATATGTACTGAGTTTTCCTTGGCAATTGGCCTTTCATGGTTAAGCGTAACCATCCCACCCTACTCACAACTCTTCACCAACAGAAGGATAAGAACTTGTCAGCCAGAGTCTTTCTTCCTATTCCTGGCTATGTTTAAGTCCCTCTAGCTTCTTCAAGAGAAAAGCTTCTGATACAGAAAATGGTTCCCCTGTCTGATAAGTTCAAGATGGCACCAAGAACTGGAGTTTTCGCTCTGGGACAGTTGTTGTTCAGTCACTAAGTTGGGTCTGACCCTTTGTGACCCCAGGGACTGCAGCACGCCAGGCTTCCCTGTCCTTCACTATTTCCCAGGGTTTGTTCAAACTCATGTCCACTGAGTCGGTGATGCCATCCAACCATCTCATCCTCTGTCACCTGCTTCTCTTCCTGCCCAGCATCAGGGTCTTTTCCAATGAGTTGGCTCTTCACATTCACGTGGCCAAAGGATTGGAGCTTCAGCATCAGTCCTTGCGATGGATGTCCAGGGTTGATTGCCTTTATGATTGACTCTGGGACAGGGGGACTCAGCAGTCTCCCTTCCCTCAGCCCGAGGAGTGAGCCTTGTGGGAAGAGGGCCTCAGGAGGCGCGGGTGTGTTTTACCGGGTTGTCTTACAGGGTGGAGACAGGAGGGTTCCCGTCTGTATCTTATGTCCCCACAGGCCTGCATCTTTCAGACACTCTTCCCCCAGGCATCCCACCTGCAGAGAATGTGTGTGTGCGATTCCAGGACCTGGGGAACAGCCAGGGGGGAGCTGGGAGAGGCTGACACTGTCTTTCTACTATCTTTGAAATGTGTGCATATTTTCTCCTATTAAGTAATAAATGCATGTTTTCATATAATAAATGGCCAATGCTGAGGAAAATAAATAATCCTGTGATTCCACTGATGCACCCTAGAGAGTGTGCACTCCGCCTTTCCACGGGAACAGGTCCAGGCAGAGAAAACATTGTTTTTCTGAACAGGTGGTGTTTTCATGGAGGGGACATTTTAGAGGCAGAATGAAATCCACCCTCTTTGCAGTGAATACACAGAGGCTAGGGTGAAGGCAGGGTGCCTGGGGGCATCCTGTGATGGGAGACTGGGCCACTTCTCTTCAGCCCAACAAGCCCAGCTCCCTGGGCCCCATCCACCCAGGGAAGCAGGCCCGGCAACCTCAGGGAGGCCACCAGTAAGTCCTGGGGTTCACACTCAATCCTGAAGGGCTGCCGTGCTAAAAAGATGCTGTTTCTGGAGAACTGAGCCAAAGGAGGAGGTCTCACAATCTGGGGGATTCCTGTCCTGAGGACATGTCTCCTCTGCCTCATCTCAGAGCCGGAGTGGGTGGGCCTGGGTCTCCTCAGCTGTGGAGGGTGGGCGGGCTGCTGGGGAGGTGACTGGGTCAACTAGTTGGCCGAACACTCGCTAAAGGGTGCACTTGCTCAGAATCATCAGAGAGGAAGAGGGTGATCAGCTTTAATCTGTAAAAAAGGACAATTGGTAGGGTGCTTTGGGTTTGCAAAGCCATCCCAGATCTTCTCGGGGCAGGCTCAACATCTCCCAATCCCCCCACTGCCTGCCCCCCTCCAACCACACACAAGTATAGCTTGACTTCCGGGGTAACCTGCGTGGGCAGACACACCATGTTTCTAGGCAGATAATCCATCTCCTAAACTCTTATTAATATCTAAAAGTTAAAATCCAAAAGCTGACTTTCAAAACTTCTGGCAAGCAGAATTGTACCTAAAGCCCCTACAAATGAATGAGTTAAGAGGAAAGGCGGGGGGGGGGTGCCCTGATGACACAGGGCGAGGGAAGGACTGCTCTCCAGGGTCCAGGCTGCAGCCGGCTGACCTCCCGGGACCAGCGGGCACAGAGAGGTGCCGAAGACACCCTTCCCTCCAGCCAAGAGACAGTGGCGACCACAGGGGTGGGAGCAGAGCTGGGTACCCCGTAGGGACCTGGGCTCTCACCCAGAGGGGACCCCAGCCTGGGTTGAGGGCATGCGAGCCCCACCAAGCTGTCTCAGGAAACCCCAGCTCCAGGCCGACCTTGGTTTGGGTGGACCCATGGCTTTCTGGAGCCTTCCAAAATGCTGACAGCTGTGCTCTGGAAAGACAAAAATTCCAACCGCCACCCTTCCTCCCAATGACCCGCTCACCCTCCTGGCTCCAGAAGAGGCTTTCTGTCAGGAGGAATGCATGCTCATTTATAACAGATGGATGTGTGAATTTTCTGGAAATGGGTTTATGGATTTGGGCCCAGCCTCAACTCCCTGAATGCTGCGCCCCTGGGGTTACTGACCTTCCTTCCAGGAGGGGCCTGTTGTGTCACGACCTTGTGTTGGAACCAAGGCAAGACGGGCATCCATGCCTTACCCTCTGACCTTGTGACGTTTAGCAAGAGGAAGGGGTGGACAGTGTGTGACCACAGCTCATTCTATTACCGGGTAGCCTCTGAAGTTGATGGAACACAGATTCCAAGTCATAAAAAAACGAGCTTGAGCAATTGACCACAAGTCCTATTTTCCCAATTCTTGAGTACCCAGGAGGGTGACTTTCTCCAGGCTCTCACTTTCAAGAATGTCAGCATCCCCTGATGGGCTTGTTAAAACAAGGCCCCACCCTCAAGAGTCCTGGCTCAGGAGGTATGGGGTGGGCCCTGTTGTTCAGTTGCTCAGTTGTAACCCTTTGTGACCCCATGGACTGCACCACTGCAGGCCTCCCCATCCCTCACCATCTCCTGGAGCTTGCTCAAACTCATATCCATGGAGTTGATGATGCCATCCAACCACCTCATCCTCTGTCATCCCCTTCTCCTCCTGCCTTCAATCATTCCCAGCATCAGGGTTTTTTCCAATGAGTCAGTTCTTCGCATCAGGTGGCCAAAGTATTGGAGCTTCAGCTTCAGCATCAGTCCTTTCAATGAATATTCAGGACTGATATCCTTTAGACTGGTTTGATCTCCTTGCTGTCCAAGGGACTCGGGAATTTTCTACAACACCACATTTCAAAAGCATCAATTCTTTGGAGCTCAGCCTTCTTTATGATCCAGCTCTCACATCTGATAATCTGCCTTTCCAGCAAGTTTCCAGGTGGTGCTGATGCCACTGCCCCAGGACCACAATTGAGAACCGCCCTCTAAAGCCAACATAGTGCTGCCCCCATTCCTATTGGGTTGTCTCTTATTTCTGTCCCACAGAGTGACTCAGGCAGCCTGGGAGTGGGGTCTGTGGCTACAGGCGCAAGGCCTAAAACCAGAATCAAGGTCATAGAGGGGCTCTGGCACCTGCTGAGGTCACCAAGGAGGTCACCAAGAGCGTGGCCCCCTCCCTGGTCAACCAGATGGCCTTTCACCCTGTGATGTGAGTGGGAAATGCCAACAAGGCCAGCAGCAGCTTGGGGACAGAGGTCCTCATTCAGCCACAAGAAAATTCTGCACTCAAGACCTGAGCTCTTCCCCTGTGAGTGCACGTTCCTGCAGTAACACCACTCCTTTCAGTGGTGCTGGGCAGATGGGCAGGAAAGACACTTTAAGGAGACGTGCAAACTGAGGGGGAGTTTTATCTAAAAAACAAAGTTTTGTTTTGTTTTTCCAGGAAAGATAAAAGCAATTTTTGAGTTTATTGGATGGCGTTAAGTGTTTAAGTAGAGTAAATATTTTCCCTGGTGGCTCAGTGATAAAAAATCCACCTGCTAAAGCAGGAGACGCAGGTTCAATCCCTGGGTCAGGAAGATCTCCTGGAGAAGGAAATGGCAACCCACACCAGTGTTCTTGCTGGAGAATCCTGTGGACAGAGGAGCCTGGTGTGTTGCAGTCCATGGGGCCCCAAAGAGTCAGACACGAGACTTAGCAACTAAACAATGACAGAATAAGCATTAGGCCTTTTCTTCCCAAACTGGTGAATGATGGCTTAAAGTATATTAATAATAAATGGAATAAAGAAAAGTTGTTCCTTCTACATGCAAGTCTTAGACTCTGTTGGCTTTTTTTATGTCACTATCCTTTGCTTTGGTACATGGCCATTTGTCCAGAAGCCCGATTCACCACCAAGCAATACTCCTGACACTGATGGCAAATGTCCATGCAAATTCAGAGCAGGGCTGTCTTGTTTTCAGCAGTTTGGGAGAGTGTTTATCCCAGAAAATGGGGAGCAAGTGTCAAACATGACCAACCTTAACTCTGGAGAAACCCCATAGAGAAAACCTTCTGGTTCTCTGCTCCTGAGCCCCCATCCTCTCGGGGTCTGCAAGGATGGGTGAGTGATGGGGTGTAGTCTAGAAACCAAACAACTTGCTCTCTAAAAGACGTCTTTAGAGTTGAGTACCTTATATTTTGGAAGATGTCTTACAAATACATCAAAAAATGAAGAGAGAAGAGATTGCTTCTCGAAACGTCCCCCTCCACCAACAATTATAGAGGACAGCAAAGAGGGAGCACATGCCTCCCTCATGCCTGGAATTTTCCTGAAAGCACTGTTGGCTGGCCTTCTGTCAAGCTCAGTTCTTGAATTCTTTTCTATTATTCTATTTTCTTCCAATATTGGTCCATATAATGCTTAGTGACCAAAAAAAAAAAAAAAAAAAAGCTAGTGAGCTAGAAAATTCTAGATTGCCATATACTTCCAAATGTGAGATATATTCCTGAGATTTTACTGCCTTTCTCTTGCTTTAAGTAATGAAGAGTTTTATGGATCATTTCTGAGCCTGTATTACAAGAAATATAAAGCAAAGTAGTTTAGGTTGTTCCTTCTTAAGATTTTATTGAAGTACACTTGATTTACAATGCTGTGTTAAAGTAAGTATTTTTTTTTCTTTTAATCAGTGGTAGAGTGGCAGACAGGGCTTTCCTGGTGTCTCAGACAGTAAAGAATCCGCCTGCAATGCAGGAGACCCAGGTTCACCCCCTGGGTGAGGAAGATCCCCTGGAGAAGGACATGGCAACCCCCTCTGATATTCTTGCCTGGAGAATCCCCATGGACAGAGGAGCCTGGCGGGCTATGGTCCATAGGGTCGCAAAGAGTCGTACATGACTGACTGACTAACACTTTTACTTTCCCTTCACAGTGGCAGGCAAGCCAAGAGTTAAGCTGCTGGTGCCATATTTGAGAGCCTGGGGTTGCCCGGGGAAAAGACAAGTAACACTGGGCTGAGCTGTCCACTCAGTTTGACTCCTGGAGAATTTTCTCCAGCCTTGCTGAGACTGTGCTAACAACCAACAAGGCTGACATATATTTTATGTCATGGGCAGTCTCTCCAGAGGCCTAGACACTTTGTCCCAGGCCGTGATGCTAACAGGCAGCTGAACGGTGCTGTTTCCCACCTGGTCTGAAGTCGCTTCCCCAGTGGCAAATGTTGCATGTCATCTATGGACCTCTCTGCAGAATAAAACCAGTCTGTCTTCTGAGTAAGGCGGCCACCCCTTGTTGTTCAGTCGCTAAGTCATCTGACTCTGTGACCCCATGGACCGCAGCACACCAGGCTCCCCTGTCCTTCACTATCTCCCAGAGTTTGCTCAAATTCATGTCCATGGAGTTGGCGATGCTATCCGACCATTGCATCCTCTGTCACCCCCTTCTCCTTTTGCCCTCCATCTTTCCCAGCATCAGGGTCTTTTCCAGTGAGTCGGCTCTTTGGACAGGTGGCCAAAGTATTGGAGCTTCCACTCCAGCATCAGTCCTTCCAATGACTATTCAGGACTGATTTCCCTCAGGATAGATTGGTTTCATCTCCTTGCAGTCCAAGGGACTCTCAAGAATCTTCTCAAACACCACAGTTCAAAAGCATCAATTCTTCAGCATTCAGCCTTCTTTATGGTCCAACTCTCACATCTGTACATGACTATAGGAAAAAGCATAGCTTTGACTATATGGACATTTGTTGGCAAAGTGATGTCTCTGCTTTTTAGTATGCTATCTAGGTTTGTCATAGCTTTCCTTCCAAGGAGCAAGTGTCTTCTAATTTCATGGTTGCAGTCACCACCTGCAGTGATTTTGGAGTCCAGGAAAATAAAATTCCAACAAAGATCTGGCTAGCCAAAGCTATGGTTTTTCCAGTACTCATGTATGGATGTGAGAGCTGGACTGTAAAGAAAGTTGAGTGCAGAAGAATTGATGCTTTTGAACTGTGGTGTTGGAGAAGACTCTTGAGAGTCCCTTGGACTGCAAGAAGATCAAACCAATCAATCCTAAAGGAAATCAACTCTGAATATTCATCGAAAGGAATGATGCTGAAACTGAAGCTCCAATCCTTTGGCCAACCGATGCAAAGAGCTGACCCACTGGAAAAGACCCTGATGCTGGGAAGGATTGAGGGCAGGAGGCGAAGGGGATGACAGAGGATGAGATGGTTGGATGGCATCACCGACTCAATGGACAGGAATTTGAGCAAGCTGTGGGAGTTGGTGATGGACAGGGAAGCCTGGTGTGCTGCAGTCAATGGGGTTGCAGAGAGTCAGACACAACTGAGCTACTGTACTGAACCAAACTAAAAATAAAATCTGTCACAATTGTCATTTCTCCCCCATCTATCAGCCATGAAGTGATGGAACCAGAAGCCATGATCTCAGGTGTTTAAATGTTTAGTTTCAAGCTAACTTTTTCATTCTCTTTTTCGCCTTCATCAAGAGGTTCTTTAGTTCCTCTTTAGGTACTCCTGGTGGAGTCCTGCTAAAGGCAGACCATCTACCCTCTGGGGCTACACTGAGGCCCAATAATGCAGACACACAGGTCTGCTTGAATGAGGGCGGGCCTGCCTCACGCCCCAACAGGGATGAGAGGAGCTAGATGTCAAAACAACGTGCACCTGGGCTATCAGAACACATGCTTCCTTCTGTGTGTTCCAGAGAGAGCCAAGTGGTTTCTGCTACCATACCCTGATTTCATACCCAACCCTTGGGTTGCCTAAAAGATGAAGCAGATGAATCGAGACCTCTCATCTGCTGTAACAAATGGTCTAAGGGTGAAAGAGGTGGGGAGTTCAGGAAGGTGTGTGAAGCCCCTGCATAATCATCAGTCTATCCCATACTTCCCGGAGGCAGGGAGGTCACGGTCTGAGCAGGAGGCCAATCAGAGTGAGGCTGTGTGCGTGGGAGGCTGGCAATAGCCGGCAATAGAGATGGGAATGAAGGCGCATGATGGAACTCCAGGAAAATGGGAACAAGGCCTGTGACCCGGGCACACAGAGGCTTCACAGCCCCTTGCGATCCAGCCACAGGGCCAGGCTGAAGGGACAGGATATGGAGGAGGGGCCAGAACCCAGGGGGCCCAGGAAAAGAGACCTCACCCAGCCCTGGGGGGACCCAAGGACCCCAGGTGAAGCCTTGCTTCATAGCAGCACCAGCTGGGGGGCTGGCATATGGGCCTGTGTGTGCGAGGCTTTCATCCTCAGAGAGAACCGCAGGTTGGAGACAGACCCCTCAGGAATGTGCTGATACCACTGTTTACCCCGGGGCAGGTCAGCCAGGCTCCTCTGGCACATTCCTCTGGGCCTTCAGCTCAGGATTGATGACTTGCTGGCATACGGAGCACGTTGGGATTATGTGAGGAAACACTGGAATTCTTGTGCAGCGTTGGGGCCAAGCACTGAGAAGGGCCCTGACCTCCTGGGTTGTTTTGAGCTGAGCTGTGGCTTCCCACATTCACGGGTCGACCTCCTCACCCCAGTACCTTAGAACCGGACG